CAGTGGCCGGAAGTCAGAATTACAACTAGGAAATCCAGAAATGTAGCATGAATTACATACTGAGCGTCCCGTTAAATATTAATGGGTCTCTTCTGTACAAAACAAAGATTAGTCTCATATGTTTAATGAAAATTAAATCTGAAGGGGGAATCCTCTCTATGAGGCGGTCTGGTCACATATTTTCAACAAGGAATGAATAAAGCCGCAAATACGATTTTATTTTAAAATGAGTGATAATTATTCTGCCGTTGAAATTGAATGATTATTGGAGCTAATCACCAATAGGATCAATCTCTGAATTTAGAAATTATCTCACAAATCTGCTCTTGGATGACTGATAAGAAAAAGAAAAGAAAAACTGAAACAATAAACATGAAATCTAACTCAAATTAAACAACGCTTTCTATAAACGTTCAGTATATTATTGCAGCTTAAAGTTAAAGTTGAGCTTTATCGGTGTTTCTGGTGTCTGCAGCGAAATCCAGAGTCTTAATATCTAACGGTAACTTTGAAGGAAAATCTTTGGGAAACATAAAACAACGGGGGGAAAAAACAGGAGAAAGATTCAGATTGAGACCAACCTGTCAGAAGAACCAGGGCCTCTTACTGAGGTCCAGTAGCGTCATCCCCCAGTGACCCGGACCGGCTCTCTTCACTTTGAGGTTCCTGCTGTCCCGTTTTTCAGCTCAGCACCGAGTCGATAATGCGAGAAGAAAAGAGTATGGAGAGCCCGTCGTGCCAAGCAAAACGTCAAACAAAGTGCCTGAAATAAGTGCAAAGCCCAAACGAAACTAGACAAGCTGATGAGGCTTCAGTCCGAAGCAACTGGACCAAAGTAGTCGGTTTCTGTGTTGTTTCTCTTCCTTCCTTAAGGAGAATTCAAGCATATCAGCTGCAGCTTCCAGGGGGCGGAGCCATCACTGGCATGTCAACCAATCAGAGGAGGACCTTAGGACGCGCGCCCACATCGTGTAACACACAGCCAATGAAAAAAATTCAAAAGTATTTCTTCCTGAAGGCATTTAGTTAGCAGCAGAGAAAATATAAACACTCTGTAGAAAAGACATGAAGGCTGAGATGGCTTAGATCTCAGGATAAAATATGCACCTTTGTCCCTGTGTGAAATTACAAATCAATGAAATGGATTATTTTAAAAGCCTTCTAAAGAACAAAAATCACATTATGATTTACATAGATTTCAACAAACACATTTTGGTCTGGTAAAGAACTTTCAAGGAGATGGAGAAAAGCAGTGAACAGTGAACGGTTGGAACTGAGGTGTTTGTAGGAACTACAGAGGTTCCTCAACGAAAATGTCATAAACTGCTATTTGCATGTCAGGAGTTCACATCTCATTAAATGTCCTAAAAGTGAAAAAAAAAAAAAAAAAGAAATATCCTCCGAAGTTTGCCATCCACACCAATGCAAAATCCAAAATGGCTGCCATGTGTTTGTCAGGAGTGACAGGTGCAGAACTAAAACGGTCTGATTTTTGACAGTTTCTCTCTCACCAAATCAGTCACTTGTTTTAATAATAATATTAATACATTTTATTATAGTGACTCAAGGTCACCGAACAGGCAATACAAGGACTGCGGCTCGACTCCACAGGGAGGCAGGACGATGAGGACGATGAGGACGATGAGGAAATCTCACTGGTTTTCACTGCAAGCGGAACGGTTTATTCCATTCTGCAACTTCTTGATTTTATTTTTAGAACACAAACTCAAATATCACACAGTGGCTGTTTAACGCTGCAATAAAGTTTCGTCTTTATTCCAGTGTTTATTTTGTTTGTTTATTTTGTTATTTTGCTGGAGGTGTAACGATGCGCTCAATTGAACTCGGAAGTTTGAGTTTTTGATTTACAAATCTGCAAAAAAAAAAAAAATTATATATATATATATATATATATATATATATATATATCTGTGGACTTGACGCTTAGTTGGAAGGTTAGGCAAAAAATAAAAAATAAAAATCCAATATGGCTGCTGTCAAATTCTGCTGAGTTTCATGAAATCAGACTTAGCTGTCCAATATGTTGCTATGGAGAGTTTAAATGCATAAAGGCCAGAAAAACTCCAGCATGTCGGTTCTGATTTGTGAGGTAGATAACACACACCCCTCTCTGATCAGCAGCACACACACACGTGCAGAGCAGCATTCCAGCTGCTTACTGTGAACTAAATAACTGGATCTTCTGCTGGTTGGCTGGTGCAGGTTGGTAGATCCAACAGGCCTCCACCTTTATCTCAGCATCAAACATGACTGATAACAAACCAGGCCTGTGACACGTCTTCCTCCTCTGCTCCAAAACAAAAAACAAAACAAAGAAGAACCTTGATGATGTAACTGATCTCTGTTGAAGTTTTTTCACGTTTCCTTCCCTCTTAATAAAACCACATATTTCATTTTTTTCACATGGCTTCTGGGCTTCATGGCTGAATGGGTTGCAGCAGTCAGACCACCGCCTTGCTGAGCTCAGCAGTTCTCACATCGCAGCAGGCAGGTGGAGAGGACTTGAGGGGGGATTGTGGACACACAGCCAGCTGTTAGTGGAAGTTTTATTTTGTTGCTTCACATTTTTAAAAAAAGGGGGGATTTTTTTTTTATACTTTGAAAGCAGGTGTTCCTACATCCTATCTGTATGCACCTGGTCCTTATTTATCTACAGGGGATATAAATAGAAAAGGTGTGAACCATGTTTGCATAGAGCGTGATCCGCCTGCCCTGGTATCGCTGCCCGTCACTGGGTCACGCCAACCATGCTTCACACAGAAGCAGTCACGTTTCCCCTGCAGCCTGTGTGACATTTGAGAATCCGTCAGAAGGAAGTTTGCATGTCTGAGCCGCGGAGCTCAGCCTCTGTACACAGTTTACTCTCAGCAAGCAGCTGCGCGTAAACTGTTAGTGTTGCAGTGGGAAGCAGAGGGATTAGTCAGAGACCTGCGTGTCACTCAGGGCAGGACAGAAAGTTGCACTTTTGACTTTGTTTGCCGCTGAAACCCGACAAAGGGGATATCTGGAATATTACCTGACAGATCGCTTAACAACTTAGTTTAAAAAAAAAAGTGTCTTTTTTATCATTTGAGAAGGATTAAAAAATACATTTGTAGAGCAGCTCATTTTCTTAATGAATAATACAGCAAAGACACAATTGACTGTTTTGAGAGACAAAAAGAGGAACTTTTTTCTTGTAAAGTGGCAGGTTGCTCTAATTTGGGAAACACTTTTTTTAAATGTAGATTTAAAAAGAGAACATCTTTATTATTTACAAAAAATGTTGATGTTAATCTAAAAATAAAAAAAAGTGTATGTATGTATATATATATATATATATATATATATATATATATATATATATATATATATATATATAAGAGGGAAAAAGAACAAGCAGGAGAAATATGTAAGGAAGATCTTTTTTCTTCCAACACCTGGTAAATATGTCGCCTTTTCTAATCAAATGACAGAACAAAAAAACTCAAAAAAGTATGAAGGAAAAAATCCTTTGTATTTTAAAATTAAACAAATCATGATCAAAAGATCAAAATAATGCTTCATACTATACATGACAATAACTTAAGTGTTCTTTGTACAGTAAATACAAAAACGGGGGAAGATGACATTTAGTTTCCCTGTGTTCAATATGTTTATTGGTCTACTTCTTTATAGTTTTTTCCCCGCAACAAGATCGTAATTAAATCCAAACTGAAGTAGGGGTTTCTCTATGAAAATAACATGCTGGGGCCACTGTAGATAGAAAAAAAAGAAAAAAGAGAACATTTCCACCACAAAATCTCAGAAAATTTAAAAAAAAATCTGGAAATTCCTGAGTTCAAGTCAAAAATTTGCTTGAAAAAAAAAAAACACATAATAATGTAAAGTAACACTTTTTTTTTTTTTAGAAAAAACAAGAACATTTCTGAGAAAATGTTTTGACGTCTGAAACTGAAATTTCCAAGTTTTTTTCCTCTAATATCAAAATTTCTGAGGTTTTTTTCTAGCAAATTCTCAACATTTCAAGCTCAGAAATTTCTATGAATCTCAAAATCTGAGTTTTCTGACGGAAATGTACATTGTTTTAATCTACAGTGGTCCTAATATACAGTCATATGCAGCAGCGCTAGTAATAGAGCAGAATAAAAACAAAAAAGAAAAGAGAAAATCCTTACCATTTCCTTTTTTATTATTTATAAAAAAAATGTTGAAACTTAGATCTAAAAATAAAAAACCAATACTGAGATAAAATGAACTCAGTCGGGCAGAAAGTCCGTTCCGCTCAGCTTGTCACAGTCGATTACTGATCATAAAAAATGTGAGTATTACTGATTAAATGTTTTTCCATCTATATTTCCCTGCCTTCCTGTGGAGTGTTAACACTGACTGAGAAATGTAAAAAAGTTAAATTTGATATTTCTTCTGCAACAGCTCCTGCTCCTGATTTCACACTTACAGGAAAATATGATTTCAGATCATTTTATCAGGCTTGTTTGAACTGCAAGCACTTATTTCATCAGATAAAACACTATTTAACCAAAGCAGCAATACTAAAAGGAAATAGCTGAATCATCACAAAATCTGTGAGATGTCCCACTTTTCCTTTTGAAAGCTACTTTAAAGTTGAAGGTTTAGCTGAAGACATGGTTGCTGTTCTGTCCAGCTGTCCTCCTCAGGAGGCTGAATGAATTCCACAGCTCAGCAGTAAAAGACTTGCAGTCATGGTTCCTGCACGCGTTCTAGCAGAGTGGGGCTTCCTGTCTACTTCCTCTTCCTGCCCCGGCCTCGGCGGCCCCGGCCTGACGAGGGGCCCGCTCCATCCGGGCCCAGGGCGCCGTCCGCCTGGCCGGCTGGGATGTTGATGTGGCCCTCCTGGATTTCGCTGCGGGCCTCGGAGGACAGCTGCTCGATCTTCTGCTGCGTCTCCAGGTAGAACATCACGTCTCTCAGCTGCTCCTGCAGCTCCGTTATCACCACGTCCTTCCGCTCACCTGCAGCACGTTTCAATAAAGCACAGAAAAATTATCTGTTTAAATATTATTAACAGACAAACTTTGGTTCTTTATCTACTACAGGGATTCTGCAGGTTTCACAAACTCAAATTTAAGACCTTTTTACAACCGCTATGAATGAAATTTAAGACCCAAATTGCCAAAGAAAAGTACAAAAGAAAATTGTATATTTCATATAGTAGCAGTGCTGAGCTTTTTTGCACAGAATGAACGTAACATTTTAGGGGTTTTTAACAGAAATAAGCAAATATCGTCCAGCCGACTGACAATAAATGGACACATACCCTTGATGGACGCAAAAGAGCTAGCTAGCAAGGGTATACTAGTGTCTAGTCAGCGGTAGCCTCAACCGCCCTGAGTTACAGAACAGAAGTTCGATGTCTGAGTGAGACTCAAATGTTTGAGTGGAGAAAAAAAAATTCATAGAACATACAAGATTAAATAGCTCTGCTACAAAGACCATCGTTTAGCTAACAACCATGCTAATTGTGGCGATAATTAAACACGACAAAATTTAAGACCTGTGATTAAGGTATTTAAGGCCAACTCACATAAAAACAATTTTAAGACATTTTAAGGCCTCAACTTGAGACACATTAATTTAAGATTTAAGACTGTGCGGACAGCGTGTGTTAGAGGACTACAGAGATATTGACTGGCTGGTCAGACACCAAGAACAACTGAATGCACCGTTGCTAAGCGATGACAGGTCACATTAACAAAACCCCTCTTTAGCTAATGATGCTAACCATGCAAACTGTGCTGATAAGATGTTGAACTACATACTCATTTACTCTCTTTTTAAAACAGTTGAACATTGACACTGGATGCTTCTTAATAGCATTCATCCTACAACAATGACCATCATTCTAAAGTCTTATAAAATCTGAATACTGGCAATCAGCCATATGTTTCTGATCAGTTCTGATTAAATGTAGGCGTAGCAGAAATGTACAAAACCCCCCTTTGCATATTAAGACCATTTTATGATAACACAACCTCAGTAGGAGGGATGTCGTTTTACCAAATATGTGTCATCATGAAAAGGACTGAGGTAGAACAGTGTGAGGCAAGATGGATGCTTTCCGTTATCATCTGAGTCACTAAAAGAGGAGGGAGCAGAGCTGAGTTACACTAAAGATAACATCGCATTTGGTTTAACAGAAATCCATAACAGTTAGTCATATTCAGTACATTAGCCTTTACTTCTGTTAATTATGACACATATTCACTTACAGCTAATGAAGACATCTCATTTAAGGTCAGAATATCACATCACATCAGACCAATAAAAAAAAAAATACTTTCAATACAAAAATGTGGATTTGATAAAAATGTCAGAACACTCATTCCAATTGTCTAAAGATGACTGTACTTTTACAAATGATATTTGATGCAATTATAACAACTAACATAACTGAATAATTAGCTTCCCTATCTTCATACTTCAACTGTTTTTAGAGGGAAACATTTCTGTCCGTTCTACAAATGGGATCGACATCTGCAGTAAAAACAGACGGGATCAGAGAGAGGACAAAATCCCTCTGAAAGCCACGGTTTGAAATCCCCGAACCAGCCTCAACATTAAAATTATACTATGAGAAAAGCTGATGTTTGTTTAGACAGTTTGCATTCCCCGTTTTAAAAAAAATAACGTTTCTATAGACAGTGATTCGTGCTAAATGGGAAAGTCCAGAAACATGAGCGCTGCAGCTGTGCTGGGTGATGTAGTTCCTTCCTGGTTTGATAAGCGGTGCCTCACATGAGGAAGCTAACGGCCGACACTTTCAGATAGAGGAATGGAGTGTTAGCAGTAGCACTGACCCTCACACGGCCACATTAGAGTAAACACTCTCTCTCTGGTTAATCTGTGTTAGTGTGTGTGTGTTGGTTGGATAGAATAGAGAAACGTTATCGTTACAGAAGCAAATGTTAGTAGATGCAGTCAGTACTTTAGGTCAGTTAGCCAAAAATAATAAGCACCACCTTAACGGCAACATACATTTCTGCACATGCAAGTAAATCAAAGTGGTTCATAATTTCCACACAGACATGAACTTACTTATTACTAATTACATTTTTTAAAAATGTAATAAAAATTATTTTTGAAAAAAGATGACAGATCTGTGCAACCACAAACTCCTCTTTACGAATTACTATTGGTTGAGCTGCTGGAGTCGCGCGCGTGCGTGTGCGCGTGTGTGTGTTTTCAGAGAAAGCAGCAGGGATAGAGCGACCAAAGGGGAATGACAACATGTCAGCAGAGAGGAATCTGGTATTTAGATAAAATATATTCTGTCTCCTCCTCTACAGGTCAGGGTTTGCATCAGATTCAGTTGATCAACACGATTCAATTAGACATACTGGAAGATCAGAGAGTGAGCGACTAATTGAAAAACCTATTCCCTCCCTCACCTGTGGTGGTGCTGTACCAAGAACCACTGAGGGAAATGACACAAAAACCTCTGAAGAAGACACTGAGTTCAAGTTCCTTCTTCACAAAATGTAAACAAAAATGGAGTGGCACTGGATTTTAGCGGTCATAGAAATTTCTCCAGCTAGCGCTAGAACCCCACGTTTGTTTTGGTATTGACCCAGAATGCCCTGCGTTGTAGTCCACTTCCTGCTTTTGGAGCAGACTACAAAGTTCACCTTAATTGAACCAAGACAACCAGAGTTTATTTTTTTGGTTTGCATCAAAGTTCGATTACACATTCACACCTCCCCAAACAAACCGGACCGAAAAAAGAAAAAACACAGAAGAAGAAGTATTCCTGTCTGTGGTGAACATAAAAACAAACGCATTGTATTTTTGAACACCCAGAATGGATCCGCACCAAGTTCTAATAACTTAAATCCACACAGACACGTCTACTGATCCAATAATCCAAAAGAACCGTTTTCATGTCCGGAACATCAGACTCCCAATTTGCCATAGATGTAACCCTGCCCGTTGCTAAGCATGGATTCGGTTTGCTTCACAAGCATCTCCGCTCAACGGCGTGTTTTCCTGGAAAGAAGGGGCTGGTCCAGAATGCCATCACACCTGCTACCCCCAAAAGGTAGGACCCTTTGGGGGTGGACATGGGTCAGCTCCAGCCCCCAGGGTTGCAGCTATAAAACTCCTCTCTCCGACACATTCCTGTCACTGTTTTCACATCTATGCGTCACAGAACCAAAAACTAGAGGTCTTCTAAAGGGTTGTTTCTCAACCCTGGTCCTCGAGGCACATTGCCCTACGTGTTTTAGGTGTTTCCTTGCTTCAGCCCAGCTAATTTCAATTGATGGCTGATAAACAGGTGTTTGTTGAACAGCAACCAGGTGAATCAGGGGACAAAAACCCTTTGAGAGCACCGGTTCAAAATCCCTAAACCAGCCTAATCATCCAAATTATACGAAAAGCTGATGTTTGTTCAGACAGTTTCCATTAACCATTTTTAAAAAATAATGTTTCAATAGACAGTGATTCGTGCAAAGTGGGAAGACCAGAAAAGCGTGTGCTGCAGCTGGGCTGGGTGATGTAGTTCCTTCATGGTTTAATAAGTAGCGCCTCACATGAGGAAGCTAACGGCCACTTGGTCATGTGGAAACGCATGACGGAGCGCGTGTTTCCTCAGTCTGTTTATAACCATTTATATGGTTTATAAATGTCAGCAGTAAATACACATCAGTTGTCTTGGACATCATTTGTCTATTTACAATAAGCGATGCTCAGCCTGGCAGGGGGCAAGTAAAGCCTGGTGGCCCGCCAGGCTTATAAACACACTGGGGGAACCCTGTGTTTAGAGCAACCTTTCATTAGTAGTAAGTGGAGTACTGATCAATATATTTGATGCGTGATTAATCTGGTGATGGCTTCTGACAAAATGTAATGTTTATTGCTCGTCTCATAATTATGTTCTTAAGGTGTAAAGCACTTTGAACTGTCTTATTGCTAAAATATGCTACACAAATCAACTTGACTGACTTGACTTGCTGCTGTCATGACAGACGTTTTTGGAGTACGACAGCACGTTGCTATCGCTACTTAGCAGGACATGAACAATACTCACTCCTTAAATGTTGGAGGAAAAACAAATGGCTTTTGAAGCTCGTCCGAGGAAACTTTACATGAGCAGCAGCAGAAAAGTCATGATGACATGGGAGAGAATACTCAAACATAAGATCTATGAGCTGCATGAAAGGCTTGTTTGACTTGAAAAGGATGACCTCCGACAACTCAGGCACAACAAGAGAAACATTATGAGGCCATTATTTACACGGAAGCTACAGTGGTTATGAGAGGACCATAAAGTCTAAAAGGGAAGGTACCAATCCTCATAGGGTGGATGTGTAGAGAGGGAACTTCGTCTGAATGCTTCCTGTAAGAAAAACCCAGAGGTTGAAGGAAAACTACTGATATGCCCACTCACAGGTAGACTTCCCTCAGGCACTAATGATGAAAACATTCCTGAGTTGAACGTAATAATGGTGGGACTAAGAAACAATGTTATTCCAAAAGGTTAGCACATCAGGCCATTTATTCTAGCAAGAAAGGAGAATATGCCTCATAAAGACTCGCTTACTACTCATTCCTCCTCCTCTCCACCCGCTTGCAGACGGCTACCACACTCAGTTATAGCTGCGGCTTGGTTGTGTTGCAGTAATTTGCATCTCATTTGCAAATGTGACCACGTAAAGAGGAAGTAGTCTCTGACAGTGATATTCTGTCAAAAATAAATCATTCTGTTCTAGCTGGCATTTCTAGAGGGCCCTGGCAGAGGAGCAGCTGATCGGGAACAAACAAGATAACAATGAGCGAAAGAACTTATTTGATTATGTAAACCAGCCAAAACATTTCCCAGCAGTCATTTCTCGTAGCATAGCGCTCTCCACGGCCCACCTTTTGTTCCACAGAGAGAGGGAGTTCATCTGGAAATGAGTTGACCACACATGGAAATAGTAAACATCAACAGAACCACTTTTGGCAGCTGTAATGTGTAGGTAGTTATCTTCCATCAGATCTCGCCAGTCGCTCAAATTGTCGTGGAGGAAATTCCCCCCGCTCTTCTTTACGACATTGCCTCATTCATTCTAATGTAATACAATGTATTTTATTTAATGACTGTAAATCTGGATTCTCTGTGATCTTCTCCAGAAACAGACAAGAAAGCTGTTATTGGAGTCCCAGAAACATGTCCGCTAATCCACTAATAGTGGAGCTAATTTTTCGTTTAGCGCTTTAGGTAACTTTGAAAACCATTAGCGCACATAGCTTCCCCTAAATAAAAGATTTTTTTTTAAATTCTATTGCACTAATTTACTTAGCTGTTTTGTAAACTTTTAGCTGAATAAAGTTTGACATCTGTGTTAAGTGCCTTAAAAACATGTACATTCTAATGTCAAATTAAATTGGTGCCCTAGAGTCTTTCAAGGGAAGTTATGCTTTTAATTGAAGTTAGCGCTTTAGCATTAGCTTCCGTTAAAGTATGTGTTGGTGTAGCATTTTAGCATTAGTTTCCACTAAATAAGGTCTTGGTGTAGCACTTATCGATAGCTTCTGCTAAATAACATGTTGGTGTAGGGTTTTAGCGTTATCTTCCATTGAATAACATGTTAGTATATTTTAGAATTAGCTTCTGCTAAAAACATGTTGGTGGTGTAGTGTTTTAGCATTGGATGAAATATTTACTGTTAGAAGAAAGAGACACCTGTTTTGCAGAGACAAAAGTAGTGGACAACATTCCTACACATGAGGAGACATGGAGACTGAAGTAGTACTAGTGGACAGACATTACTGAGGCAGAAATGTGGAGGAAGCTCCATGGCTTACCGCTCTCTTTTCCTTTGCGTTCCTCCTCAGCCAGCTGGGCTTGGAGCTGCGTCTGATTGGCTCTCAGACAGCGGTTCATCTCCTGCTCCTCCTTCAGCTCCTGGCTCAGCTTCAGCACTCGACTGTTGAGCTGCGTGCACCTGAAAGAGCCCGATACGTAAAGACTGTGGCTTCACCACTTCATCCTTAGAAAACAAGCGTGGCTGGAGAAGAGCCGTTTTCCTTTAACACTATGATTAACAGCAGGACTTCCAGATTTTTGTGGCAGGAAAATATCGTGACAAGCACAAGTCTGACGTATGCAGTACATGGAAATGGCGGTCAGGCTAAACAAGATATTGGCATTTCTTAGGAATCGACAATAGATTCCTGTAATTTCTTAGTAAAGGCTGTTGGTAGATCTACTGAAATGTGTTTTTGTAGGAAGTGGAGCAGCAACTGAACAGTCACGAAACCATGGCAACAAGATACAATAATGTGCTTAGTCATGATAACTCAATTATTGAAATAATCGTCAGCTAATTTAATAATTGATTAATCGTTTATTGGGAGAACAACACATACAGAACTGTAATTAAGCTAAAACTATACAAAAATATGCAATTTCTATTTAACACACAAAAAAAATTTTCTGTAAAAATATTCTACTTAGATCTTCAAGTGGCAATTTTAGTTTCACCTGGTTCAAATTCTGTAAAAAACTTCTAGCTTCTTATGCTATCTAGTTAATCTAGGTTAATCCAAAAACTAATTACCAGATTATTTCTACACTGTATTGATGTTAAATCAAGCAGAAACGATTTAGCTGCAAATTCATCCTTTGCTACAAATGACCAAGTATATACTTGTATTTACTGCATTTTAGGGAACTAAATGTTTATTTTCTTATCTAAAAAAGGAATTGAATGTGTTTATTTGCATTTTTTATGTATTTTCTAGTACTGTATAAAATAAGCTTCAGTGGTTAAATAAAAAAAAAATCTGCAGTGTGCCAAATTTTTTATCCGATTAATCATCAGAATAACGATTAATCACTGCAACTAACGATTATTACTGAATATAATCGCTATTTGCAGGCCTGAATACAAGCTCACATCGTATACACACACAAACACACACACGTGCACACGCATGCAAACACACACTCTCTCCCCATTTAAAAAGACAAACCTACTTCTTCTCTAGGCTCTGCTTCTCTTTGCTTATTTCTCCTAATCGCTGCTCCAGGTTATCGCAGCGCTCCAGGGTCTCCTTAAACTTCACCTTCATGTTGTTGATCTGAGAGCAGAATCAAAGAGTTTGAATCCAGAACTCAGAAACTGACACGACACCGAGACATATTGTTGCTTCTCTACCTCCTCGGCCGTCTCCTTCTCCAGATGAACGATCTTGTTCTCCCAGTAGATCCTCTGGGACTCCAGCTGGCTGGTCAGCAGGTACGAGTACTGCAGACAGAGGCAGATCGT